TTAAATTGGGTAAATTTAAAATTAAATAAATTATATTAAAAAGAAAATAATATAAACTCATCACGTTCTAACTATTTTACTATACTCTTTTCTATGCTCTTGGGGTTATTTACATTTCTTCCGTTTGTATTATGGAGGCAGTATATAATGGTGTGCTACTCTTGCATCCCTTCCTAATTCTATGTTCAGTGACATCATGTTGGTAGCTGGAAATCAACCATGGTGAGAGTATTACACCACAGAAATTGGCCAAGGCTACCAGTGAGAGTTTGATTGTTTTGTTGACCGCCTAGACTTAAGGAAGTGATGGAAAAATATTAATAACACAGAATAAGTTTAGTGTATTGTGTCTGTAGCTATAACATTGTAAACAACATTAAAAACTTGATGAAATATTCTTCCAGTATTGGAAAACTACCATCCAATTCAGCAAAGAAATCACTTGTGTCATTGACCAGTGAGGTGCCAACATATGTATATATGTATTTATTGTTTCACATTCACCTTAATGTTAGTGTAAATGAAAATATCAAGCAACATTCATTTTGGAACTATACTTTTTCAGCAACTGCAACCATTAGTTGGCTACGGATACAAGTTTGGCCAAAATCGATAACACATTCTGTGATAATAAATTGGCCATGTGGAATTTATAATAAGGAGTATTGTATATTTTATTGTTATTATTATTATTTATGAATTGTGTACCCTGCGTCTTTTATATCAACAAAGTTTATAATAAGCTTACATGGGTACATACACACACACCCGTACACACCCTGTTTTACCTGGAGAGCCAGTTGTTAAACATTTATCAACATACCACAGCTAACAGGCAACTCAAACTTAACATATCCAAAACTTCACATGGGAACTCTTGATTTCCCATGGCAAACCAATTGTCCATGCTGAATGAAGATGATGTCTTTATCTCAATTAATGGCAAATTCATTCTTCTAGTTGCTCTGGCCCAAAACTTTAAAGTCACCCATGACTCTTATTTCTCTCATACCCTACATCCAACCTATCAGGAAATCCTTTTGCCTCAGATACTGACTACATCCCACCACCTCCACTGCCATCACTTTGGTCTAAGCCTATGTGTTCCCTCACGTGGATTATGGCAATAGCCTTCTGACTAGTCTCCTTATTTCAATACTGTAGTCAGAGTGATTCTGTTAAAAACATAAATTAGAAATGCCATTGTCCTGCTAAAAATTCTTCAATGGCTTCCACCTCACTCAGAGTCCAAGCCTATGTCTTTACAATGGCTTATAAGACCCTACAATCTCTGCCCCCACCTCCTTCCCATCATCTCTCCTCATCATCCCCTACTATCCTTCCCCACATTCACCCTACTCCAGTTACACTAGCCTCTTTGCTGTTCTCCAAACACATCCCTTCCTGCCTCAGGCCTTTTACTTGTTTCCTCTACCTGGAACGTTGCTTTTCTTCCAGTTTTCCCCATCATTTGCTCTATTTCTTCTGATCTTTGCTCAAATGCCATTTTCTCAGTGAGGATTCCTCATCATTTGAATTAAAGTTGTAATCCCTCCCCATCCCACCACAACATTCCCTATCCCTCACCCCTGTTGATCATCATCTAATGTAATACATGTTTCATATTATAAAATTCAGTTATTTTCCTTCCCCCAACACTAGAATGTAAGTTCAAGAATTTTTTTGTCTATTTTATTAACTACTATATTCTTAGCCCTTAAAATAATGATGTGTACATAGTAGGTGCTCAACAATTTGTTGAATGAACAAAATATTAATAGGTATTCTAAATACACACACAAAGATTCTTTGAGCTTATTATGGGAAAAAGGAGCTTGGGGGATCCAGAATTGAGTCCCCTACCTTTCCAGGTGCTTGGTTAAAACTGTGTGCATTTGTCTGTGCCTGCAGGTCTGCTGTTTGTGTAGCTGGACCACCTAGAAATAACTGTGCTCTTTCAGAAACATGAAAAATTCATAGTGGACTGAAAATAAAATGGCAAAGTACAAACTGTTGGCTAAAATCATCTCATATCAGATTCCAGTACAGACAAGTAGTCAAAGTCACCAGAAGGTTTAAGAAAAAAATGAATATTTACTGAGTATCTAGTGTGTGCCAAGGGGACACAAAGATGATTCAGATATAGTCCTGCCTGCCCCCAGGGAGTTCCCAGTCTGGTGGGGAGGATAGGCCATAGAACCAGATAACTACAAATGGTATCTCAGCCCACTAACAGGAAAATGTACTAAGTACAAAGGCAACAGAGAGGAGAGAATGATCAAGTGTAGCAGCAGAGGGGATGATATCTGAGCTGGGTTCTGGAGCATGAATAGGGAGGAGGGAAGGGCCCAGAGAGAAATATGTAAGTGAGAGACATTTCACCACGAAATTTTTTCCCCCGCTTACCTATCTGGATTTAAACAGGAAATAGCTTGGCCAAGCTTGCACAACTCCAAATTGTGTGGAGCAGAATTTGAGAAGTCCTGGTTATATGGACACACAAGGAAAGGCTGAGTGAAAGGGACAGACGGCAGGAAGGAGACTAAAAGGGCAGAGCAGAGAAGGGACCATTTAATTCTACAGGACCCATCACAGGCTCAAGGCTCCCACAAGAGCAGTGGGAAGAAGAGGTATGAAGGGCAGGAGTACCTTATTTCTGCCTTGGCTCTTCCCTAGTGCTCCCTTTGTCCTGTTCTCCATCTCTCCAGATAATGCTGTCTGCTTCTGGAGAGAGGCTGCCTTGGTAATTAATACTGAAAGATTTCATGTTAAGAATCTGAAGGTCTGGGTATGAGTCCTATTAACTGTATAATCTTGTGCCCAGTTTCAAAACCTTAACATGCCACAGTCTAGAGAGTGAAGTCCAAGCTCCTCTGCTTGGCTGCCAAGACCCTTCTCCATCTGGCACCTGATGACCCCTCCAGCCTCATCTATCCCAAACCCCTTCTCGCCCAATAGCCAAGCACTTCTCTTGGGCCCTGTGTCTTCACAGACACTGTTCCCTCAGCTGAGGTATTTGCCCTCCCCTGTCCCAAACTGAAGAATTCCCAGACTCTTTCAAGACATGACTCTGGTGTTGCCACCTCCAGCAGGCTTTTCCTGATTGCTAGGTTAGCAATGACCTCAAAACCCCAGAGCTTCCTCTACCCCAGCATCTGGAACACATCTGCTCTTGCCCCTCTCATCCACTCTCTACAGACCAGCCAGGAGAATCTTTTTACAACACAGGACTCATTGCCTCTCCCCTGCTTTAAAAAAGAACAAAGCTTCATTTCTTGGCTTAAGGACCACAGTCAGGTCTATGTGACCTCACCCCTTCACGCCTTTCCACCGCTTCTTCTCACCCTTTGCTCTCTCTGCTTCAGCCAAACTAGGTTTCTTTGTTTCTCAATATACCATGTTTGTCTCTCAGAACCTCTGTGCTTGCTTCAACCTGGCTAATTTCTACTCATTCTTCCGAGCTCACTTCAAACCTTCTTTCCTCTGGAAAGCCCTCATTGTGCCCTGCTCCCCCAAGGCTTAGGTGGCATTTACCACAATAGTGATTTTAGAGCTATTGATGACTTATTTGATATCTGTCTCCCCCTGGGTAGGGACCATGCTGTCTCATTCATCACTGTTTGAGGGGCACATAGAGCAGAACCTGGTATAGAACAGTTGCTCAAGAAGTGTTTGTTGAATGACTATAGGAGTGTTTAAACCTTACGTATTACATGAAAGCTCCAACTGACCTGGCCTCTCTCTTGCCACCTGCAGCTCCCAAGGAACTAGTAGAGCATCAGTGCCCAGCACTGTGCTTGGCACTTAGTGGGGCTCCATAGGGGTTTTCTGAGTCTGAGAGACACTGTGAGATGCTGCCCAGATCCCCCATCAGTGAAGACTTGGGACACCAGCTACTGGGAATGCGGTCACTGAAGAGCCTTTAACTGTCAGCCCACCAGGGGCAGGGTCACGTTGGCTCCTGTCACACCCCTTCCCAGATGGCCCCACGTCCAATGAAAAATGAAGGCAGGGATATAAAGGCCTGGCATGGCCATCTTGGCTCATGTGGGGACAACTCTGATGGGCCATTCTAGCTGCTGAGACCCTGTGGAGTCAGCCAAGACTGTCCTTGGGCCTGCATGAGGCTCTGACTTTTCCTGCCCACTCCTGTTCCTCCCTTCTCTTCCACAGGTGTTGATCCCAGCATACTCCCTCATCAACACTCTGCACTGAAATCTCCATCTCAGAATCTGCTTCCCAGGGCCCCAACCAGAAACAGGCCGTCCCTCTTCCCTTCTTGTCTATCCCATCCCTTTCAGAGACCGTTCATTCGTTCATCTAAAGTTCACAGGCAGCATTCAACTCACAAAACGTTTCACATCCACTTTTCTATTATACCTATTCTATACTCCAGGTGCGTCAGGAAGGGAGGCCAGCCCCACTTAACAGATGAAGAAACGGAGGTCCAGAGAGGTGGAGTGACCAGCGTTAAGGGCACTGCACTAATTAGAACCTGAGCTCTCAGATGCGGTTTTCCACCTCCCTTTCCCTACCAAGTCGCTGCGTCCTGGAACAAGAGGGAGCCTCATTTAAATGAATTTTGGTCTCAGTGGTCAGAATCCTGAAACCGTGGCTCTGGGGGGCCGGGAAAAGGGCGCGGAGTCCCAC